CATTGCTCTTAATAAACTTTTATCACATCACATCTGTTCCTTCTCCTCCTGCATCTCCATTTTCATCTACACTGAGAGATCCAGGCAGTTTGTGTGTGTTTGTATTTAAATGCGCTTTACTTCATCCACTATACTTTATGTACTTTTGCTATGCCAAAATATTTTACTAAATGCACTAAAATATCTTCTTTGAAGTCTCATATTGTCACATATTGTATCGATGCCCTTTCTACTGAAGCTTAAACTGTCAAATCATCATTTATGGAGCTGTTGCAAAGAAGGAACAGATTGGCTGTTTAAGATCTCCTTCTGTGAGGTCTTTCTGACCTTTGTTTTATTCAGTGACAGATGTCTGAGCGTCAGTAATGACTACTGCCAAGGTCTTATCTTTATTTAAAGTACTCTGAGATGTTACAATATATATATATATATATAGCTTTATAAACCCAAACACCTCCACTGAAACTCAGTTTGCAGGTTTACGTCAAAAGTTCCACAGAGGGCTGCTGATGATGTTGAGTAAAGAGCTGGATGCAGGCCAGTGTTGCACAATTTGGCAACAAATTGAATTACAGTAACCCCAGTCTCGATCCTTTGTGCATGAAAATTCTTTGACCTTCCTTAAGTAGTTACATAGGGTGGGGACCTGTATGTCTTCCCAATCAGCCATACGACACTGTCAACTAACGTGCATTCCTGCTGCTCTCACAATACACCATGAAGTTTGCTTCACAGTGTAGCTGTCCCTCAATCTCTACTCCTGGGAGAAATTAGATATGTCTAGAGGGAAAGAATCTTTGCTAAAACAATAATGACCCACCCAAATGGACTCTGACACATTAGAGTCACTGTCTAGGTGAATGAACAGTGAGGGGGGGAGGGGCTCTGTTAGAGGAATTTGATGAGACAGCAGTATCTCTCTTGGGTCCACACGTACATTCGCGCGCCTCTCTTAATTGGGTTTAGTGCATGTCTTGGCACCAGACGCAGCCAGTTTTAGTTGAATTAGTCTCCTGAATACTCATTTACTTCTCGCTGATGAAGTGCTGCTTTGAGCCGTACAGGAGGGAAAAGGGAGGAGGGGGTTAAGAGGCCACACTGTGTCTCCCCCTCCCTTTTTCCTTTCTCTCTCAACCTGTTAGGACTTCATCCTTCTTAGGTCACAGATTCTTCACCTGCCACACTCGCAGGGTGAGCAGTGGTGGCAGCTCTGCGTTGCAAACTTCTAATTTCATGCAAAGAATACCAAGCAGCTGTCTCCTCTGTCCTGCCTGAGAGGTTACCACTTTTAACGTTGTGCTACACTGCCCTCTGGTGGATACCTGCCTATCCTGTCAATCTTTTTTGTTTTTTTTTGTTTTTTTGCAATGTTTTTTAAAGGAGGTGTTTAATATTTGAGGTGTTTCATAAGAAAAGCAGCTGCTCTGCAAAGAAGTGCTGCCTTTGTAGAGGTCATTGAATGTCAGGTGAAAATCCATAAAGTTTTAGGCTGGAACTTAAGCAATGCTACTTCTCAGAAAAGCACTTCAGCTGTGATGTGCTTGCATGCTGTATGACTTCGTAAGTTCATAGAAGTATAGGAGGTCTTAGTGTGTCTTTCTGCTGAAGGCAACAAGGACATAATTAATGTGCTATTGTTGAAGGACATGCTGCATGATTCCGTGCAAGAATTATTACCGAAAAATTATGGAATGAGTTATGTAATGTAAATGATCAACTGTGTGAAGCAAGACTATATCAGTGTTCAACAAGAAGTCAGAATTCCATCCTCGTGATGATAACAAGTTGAATTCATAAGAAACGGTCTGATCTGAACGGAGGTTTGTGAAATAGTCACGAAAAAGTAAAATGTTTTTATGTTCATGACAATGAATTGTTAAGTTATGTTTTTTTTTCATGGTATTGAGCACAAATTTGAAAGTAATGCATTCCAGGAGCACACATTTTTGGGGGGTAGAAAAAGAAGGAAAGTGTAAGACTTGTTGTGTTGCTAGTGCGAGAGTGTGCTGACTAACTTAGAAACACGGTCTTTCTCTTGCTTTTAAATCCAGACACACGAGAGCGGACTGATGGAAATAATGCCACAATGCCCATTTTAGTACAATTAACATTTTTGATACTAGACTGACATACTTGCTGTGGTTTGACCAGATGTTAAAGCTGGCTAACATTCATAATTATAGTGCTAGTAGTAACGGGGCATTCACACGTGTACGTTACTTCTTGGCTGGATGGCGGGAGCTCTTGATTTTTAGTTGAGCACATTTACTACCAGATTGTCATAGCAACGGTAACTCATCAATGACAAGGCAGGCTTCAGTTAGCAGTTAGCATGATCTAATCTAACTATATATTACAAATTTTGGTCATATTTAATGACTTGTTTGATCATATTGTTATGGTGCTGATGACGAATTAACTTCTAATAACAGGCTTGTCTGAGGTTATTGGTGAGAGTCATAAAATTTCATGCATTATTTATTCAAAACAATGTTAAATACCCTTTAACAATAAATTACTCGCATCATAAATACATGTATTTAAATATGTAAACTACATATGTATTAATTTGTATGAATATAAAATGTTTTGTAATTGTAAACAATTGTAAAAAAGCATTTTGGATATTTTGTTTTAACTAGTTTGAAAGCAGACATGATAATAACAAAATAAAATAAAATAATAATTGCAAATTATAAAGTTCAATAATAGTGCCTTCGAAGATTGTCTTTTTGCGATGTAACTAACTGACGTAACACATTTTTTACTTTCTATGTTTTGAAAATAAAGAAATGAAAAATAACTTGACCTCTAAAGTTAGAACTGTCACGTTAATACAGTATTTATAGCTGACAGCAGAGTCACACAGGTACACACAACACCTTTCTACTAGCTTCTCCCAATAACTCCTGGCACCCAGTAGCAGCTGACAGTTGGTAACTAAGGGCAACAACTAAACACAGAAACATGCACACACACACACACACACACACACACACACACACACACACACAGAGCAGCTTGGTCAGCATGTGAAGGGCAGCGCCTTGTACAAACTCGCATAGGGGGACCCGGGGAGCTCCTCTGACCTTCTCATTATTCCTCTGTGGTTGACAGTAGAGTGCAAAGGAGACGCGCAGCCCAGCTCATAAAAGCTGAGCTATTTTACAGCTTTTAATTAGCGTGGGCTGACACCTGCTCACACATCGCTACATTCTGCACGCTCGTGTGCATTTGTTGTCTTTGGGTGTTGACACTCTGTCTTTTTCCTGAATCCGTCCAGACATATATATTTACCATCACAATATTTTGTTTATTATTGATACTTTTCTGTAACATTATTATAATTGTGCTGTCATGAAGGTACCAGCCGGATGGCATATGCACAGACCTGAGGAAGTTCATTGATGGCCCCAGTAGCTACCTTGCACTACCTGATGAGCTCAAGTCAGCCATAGAGGCCATCACATACATAGCCGAGGCTCTGCAGGCTGAAAAAGACTATGAAGCGGTAAGTTTGAATGTTTGAGCACGTTTAACCTTCTAAGATCCACAAGGTCACATCTGGAGTGAAGGGCAGGGTTTGATCATTTCGAGCATTCAACAGATAAAGCTTAATCACTGAATATCTAAGTTGTCTTTAGTGATGACCCCTAACCCTAAGCCCTAAACATAAACCAAGCAAAAGTGTTTTTGTAATGCATATCACTTAGAATGACAGTTTTCTTTGTCCCCTAATTGTCAAGATTTGAGATGACATTTTTGAGGAGAACCAACCTATTATCACAGGGTTAGGGTTAGAGCTATCATTTACTTAAACCTTAGAGCATTAATATGTTTATTGTCCTTCCATTTTTTCTTCCTCTCTACTTTTTATCTGAACAACATGGCTTTATTTCTGACGTTTGTACTGTTGTCTTTTTGTCTCTTGTGTCTGTCTGTCTTTTGCCATTTTCCCACTGTTTTCCTTTCCTTATATTCATTTTCTTTCTATCGTACCCATTCTTTCTCTTTTTAATCTCTTGTCTTTCGCTGGCCTCTTTTAGCTGAAAGAAGATTGGCAATATGTGGCAATGGTGGTGGACCGGATGTTCCTGTGGATTTTCGTCGTTTTCACCACTGTGGGCACGCTGGCCATCTTCGCCGATGCTAGCTTCAACCATACCCCTACGGACCCCTTCAAGCCCTTCTGAAGCACAGGGGTGTCTGATTTTCATGAACCATGTTGCTGGAAGTTACGAATCCCTTGATGTACATGTAGAGGAAGACAATTGTAACTGTTAAAATAAGTACAGTTTCCAATGCATTGCCTCATCACAAAACACACAATGCCTTTTTAAATTATAGCTGTACTAGTACTTAAAGGGCCAGTAACTGACAAACCATATGGATTTTATGGTGTTCTTTTTAGATTTGTAGAATTTTAAACTTTTACTGTGTTTGTTAGATTTGGGAGAAAAGCTTTCAAAACCCCAAATTCATATAATGTACTTTGCAAGCCTACGATTAGGGTTATAAGTTAGGACTAAATAAGGTCTATGGTCTAGATAACCCCAACCCTAGCTCCATTCATAGGCAATTACAATATGCAATTTTTGTGTTTATATAATTGCTTTCCAAGTTTTCTCATTATAGAAACAAAGACAATAATCGGACACACAGAAATCAAAAACAGCTGAAAAAAAAAACCCCAAACAGTTTTGGCTTCAACCAAAATAAATGGTTAGGTTTCCACTGTAAGGACTTGGATACCAGAATGTTAACAGGGTTACACTCTGTTGCAGACATGGACACACCCATCATCCTATGGTGAAATTTAGTTAATTTGGGCTTTAGCAGACTCAAAGACGTGACTATAAAGGGGCGATAATTTTCATCGATGCTGACTCTACCTGACTCAACCAGAATTTGTAAAAGAAAACAAAGAAAATAACAATTCTGATGTACATCACATGGAAAACTACTTACATTTCACAAGTCTCCAAACTATTTAGTCAGGGTAGGTTTACCTCAGAAGATTAATCTGGCCCAAACCCTTCTCCTAATTCCAGATGTGTTGCCAGTGACAGTTTGTATGTTAAAATTTTAAAATAATTAAAATAACAAAAAATAATAAATGCATTGATGAAATTGCATGAAATGTAACTACTAAACCAATGTTAGCATACCATACATGCGTATAAATGCTACAATATAAACTACCAGCGTGGGATTTTTTTATTTTGTTATTAGCTGTAGTAGGGTTTGAAGTGTGGCTCCAGGACTGGGTGTTCATATGTGGTGTTAACACATAAACACCAAGACAAACCAGGCCCTATAATGAGCGTGCTGCAAGCCTATGTCAGAATGTGCTGGAGAGTGGCACATGCTTTGCGGTATATTTCTGCAGACACAGTAATCCTCTGCATTTCAGGCATTGGTGTATGTTACGGAGCAGCACACCAACCCCATTCATCTGCTGCACCAACAGCCAATGGAATTCCCAATAATAGAGAAGACTCGTGCCTCTCGGTGCCTCGTTTTGTCTGGACACACGCATGCTGCATGTCCCTTCTACCACACCTGTCCTCTTGGTCTTGTGCTTTCATTTTGCTTTTGTCTTTTAAATAGAGATCTGAGGGGAGAATATCAAAGGCTCCATCTGTTCTCAGAATGCTATCACCTGCCCACCCTGCTATTAATATCCCCACATGTTGGCACTGGTCACCGGACACTACTGCATGGGCTTCCCTGTTATTTCTCTGTGTAAATACACTCTCTCACTGAGATCTATTAGCGCAAGTATTTGGGGGCTGAAATTCTGCCAGTCCACGGCAGCCCACCTTGGCGACAGCACTGATAGCCCCTCAGTATTATAGACCACCATATGTGACGTTATCGCTACACTAGTGGTTGAATTGCACTTGTTCCCTTTCCCGTCTAACACATAACCTTCTATGAAAGAGTAGCTTTGAGAAGCCAGGCTGCACAAAAACAAACACAGAGGTCATTCTGAATGATGTATTCACGCTGAGAATGGCAGCTCAGAGGAGGTCAAGTCAGAGGCATTTTCCCCTCACTTAAGTTTCAATCTGCTGTTGATTTATAGTTTTATGTTTTCACACTGGAAGGGCTCACCAGCATGAGGGAGAGAGGATGGAATGACCCAACTGAGAGGAGAGAAATTTAAAGGCAGAGACAGAGAGTAGGGGATGGAGGAAAGATGAACTTTATGAGGCTTGAAATATAGACATCAGCTTCGTAAAAAGCAACACGAAGGATCAGAGATAGAGCAGAATCCGGAGTTCACTCGGGGGCCTTTGCTTCATCGATCATTACGCTTGTAGTCCTCGCAGCCCTCTATGGCAAAAAACATCCATCTCCATTTTTATACTTTCATCCACATCTTTTCTTGCCTCGAGCTCACATCAAACTCAGAATCAGCAATGCTGAGGTGCTTTTTACTAAGACCTCTCCATCAGTATTGGCATCACCTCCCTGCTCCTGCCAAGAAGTTTGGTAATTCTAGATTTCATCACGCCACAGTATCTGTGAAGCAGAGCCTTTCATTTTCAGCTCCTTAAATCACAGTGTGACTAAAGCCATAGTTTTTATAGGAATTTGTACCTAAAGAACAGACAAACCCCATCACTTGTGCTGTTTAGAAAGATTCTCAAAACAAGTTTATTTCATAATTTAATCAATTTAGGTTTTTTTTTACCAGAACATCAACATTGTTTTAAACAGTAAAAAAAATAATTTTTTTCACTATTTCTATGAACATAAATATAAATAAGCATAGCATTAACTGATGGAGGTCACAAAGTCAAACCCAGTCTACAATCCCTGCAGATCAGCTGATACTGTTCTACGCACCCAACTTTGCAAATCTCATATATTGTAGGGATTAAACTTTAGCCTGTCTATGGTTGCTGTGCCACTGCAAGTTGCTTTGCAGCCCCCCTCCACTCCTGCTCTTCCTCTTCATGTTGTAGCTGACTTAATCAGTGTCAAATCTGTGAATGCCTGCTTTTGTCTGTATCTCTGTGCCACTTCCTTCCTTCTGTGTGGAGATGACCTTTCTAAATGTTGATGGGTTTGTACGCCATGTCACGCAAAAAACGTTGACGCACATGGAAATAGCAATCGTCTTTGACAGGCACGGCCTTGAAATATTGTTTTGGTTTAAAATCATTTTTTATTTTTAAATTGCATAATCGATTTTGCTACTTTTGATTTGTAGAAAAATTAGACAATAAATTCAGTGTTTGTGGTGGTTCGTCACTGTCTCTCTCTTTATATTCAGGATTACTCAAAAAATGGTGGATCTGCGTAAAAGATGGGCTTGGAAGGATTCTATATCAATGCAAGGACACAGACAATATTAAGCTGAAATTAAAAACACTGACCTTCTGGATCCTGGGGCTCAGTTCCTGCATGATATGGATGAAGTTTTGAGTCTTGGTGGATATAAACTGCTCTTATTGGTGTCACACCACTAGGGGGCAGCAGCTGGGAAGTCAAAATTCCACACATAGTGCCTTTAAATTACTGCATTTTTCCCCCCAGGATACTTTTGCACACCTGTTTAAAGGACATAAAATAAAACTTTGATGACAAGCTATTCCTGTAAAACTAATGAGCTTAATAATTTTTTCATTGTCCACCTTTTCAGAAAACTGCTTAATATTTGAAAACCAATTTAACTCAGGGATATAACAGCCAGATGATACCACACACAGCACAGTGCAATGGGTATGACTGCAACAACCCCTAAGGTGGGAGGCTGAAAATGAATATTTAAAGCCTTGAAGGAGGTAGAGAAGATTTGATTTACCAGGGAAGATGAATAGCTGAAGGAATCAAGCAGGCATTAAAAGTTAAGAGAGCCAGAGAAGCCACCTACAGCATGACCCACGTCAGCTTTACAGCACCACCAATCATCCTTCGCCTACCGACAACCCCCCAATCAACTTCCCAAAAATATCTCCATTGTCATAACCCACAGCACATAGCCATACCACCCCCTCCACTTCCTCTTACTCCCACACACAATCCCCGCAGTGCTAACCTCAGATTGGTGAGCACCAACAGGTGCCTGTCCCTCAGAGTTCCTAGTACAAGCGCACCCCCCCCAGCACATCCATCCAATCAGGTCATGGTTTCACCCAGAGAGTCATGGCCACAAAAGAGACGAAAGGACAGGAGACAGGGTCGTTAGCTGAAGAGCGTGTGCCGTTCGGGGTGTTAACTAGCTGTAACCCAGCTGGAGCAGGGCACTGATTTTCCTGAGCTTTTAGGGGGTGACCATTCACCTTGTATCCAGGTGAAGGTGGGACGTGACTGGCTGTGGCCGCTAGAAGAGCCTTTGGTTGGCTAACAAAGAGTCCAGAAGATGATATGATTGCCATTATTGGACAAATGAAGATGTACCTGAGCACTAGCATGAGGATGAATACCTTTCTCTTCGTGTGTGGCTGCCTTTGCCTTACTTTCACTGGTAAGGACGTATTTAGGAATGCCAGTGTGTGACACTAGTTTTCATGGTTTGAGGATGTTTAAAAATAGATTTTAAGATGAATCATGCTAAGCTGATTAAATGTCGCGTAATCTGGCCACATAAATCTGGCTGATGAGCATTCCTGGAACTAATAGCAGCATGTTTACTAATAAGTATTTTCAGAAGAGAGACATGATGTTTCTCTTCCATCTAAATCAAAACCTACATAGTGAAATGTTCATTATACTAAAAAAACAAAACAAAGGAACAACATTAAAAAATGGAAAACTGCCGTTAACTTTTAACTTCAACTAAAAACAAACAACCATGGTTGCTGGTGACCTGCGGTGCAGTGTTCCTATTCGTCTATGTGTCCTAACTGCTAACTATTTCCTGGTGGGATCGAAGGGAATCTGTTTTCACGTGGAGGAATCGAGGCATAATTTGAATCAGACAGCTCCAGTCAAATCAGATAACACACAAGTATCTCACATCCACAACTTCACCCTGTCACTCCAGTTAAATTGCTATTGATTCCATCTCCTGGTTTTTTTCTTGATGTTCTTTTTTTTAATTCCCCCATTTTTGAGTGGGAAAGGCTAGGCGTTAAAATCATGATTAAAATTGATTTAACCAGGTTCAGCTCAAGGTCAGTTTCATTTATATAGTGCCAATTCACAACAGCAGTTCCCTCAAGGCGCTTCCTATAGTAAGGTAAAGACCCTACAATAACCTTGACCTCCTGACACCATAATGTGAGTGAAAAGCAAAAGAAATAAATGAATGACAAAAAAAAAACAAGCTGCACAGGTGAATTCCACCATGATTGTGGCCATTTCTTGACCTTTTGTCATACAGCCAGTGAGAATTTACAGGTATGTTTCACCAGTGATTAAACTGCAGTCCCAGGGGAACAAAGCCTGTATTTTATGTCCTTCCACAGATGTTGTCCACTTGAAAACAAGAGTGGCCTCCTTCTTCTCCTCTGGAACATATAATGAATCACATTAACACATCATTGTTCGTTAATCAGAATCTAATTTTGTCCCCGATGGAGCTGGTATCTCAGCCATCCCTTTGATCCTATTCCCTTACTACATATCAATTACATTAGCTCAGTCACCTTTGCTACCCATCGTACACCACCAGCACCTGCCCTGCCTCTCCTGCGTGTCCCGTCTGTCCTCTGTCTTTGCCACATGCTGTTTAATCGCATATTTGGAAAGAAAGAGTCCCTAATGCTGAGCTTTCTGTGATACATGACTTCTAAGACATTGTCTTTTTAAAACATTATAACTTGACAGAGATTAAATGACAATAATAATAATAATAATAATAATAATAATAATAGTAATAATAATGTCTAAGTACAATTCTACTGATGCAGTTAATTTACAGTACTGCGCAAACGTTTTGAGCCGCCCCTAATTTCTTTATATTTTTGCTTTCAAGAACCAAACCTATAAAAACTTTATTTTTTACATATCTTCTCCTTTCTAGTGGAAAGTTTAACATGGCTTTATCTGTGTTTCTTTTGGTTTGGTTTGTTTTTTCCCTCAGAACAATTCTTTTGGCATTTAAGAAACTGATGTTGATTAATATTTCTTCGTGTTTATCATAATTGTCTCCTCACGGACACAAACTAAGAACAAAACAGCTTTGGGTTGAGCGAAATCTCCTTTATGTGTGTTAATCTGACACATGCATTCATGTCTTGGTTTGAGCTCCAGCATAGGCTGATTTCCAGTTTTCAAATATCCTTTCTTTTCAACAGATGTTGGATACAGTATAACAGTATAACAGTAAATAAATTAAGTTGATTACAAATTTTAATTTATGCCTCGGTTCATTAAGTATACAGTATTTGTAAAACTTGTGTAATGTGTTTGTATGATGACATTATAGATTTCATTACTAATTTAGGTGCCTGGGCACAAGTATACAAGAAGTACACATCATGACATGCATATACAAATCAAGATCCTACACCTTCAGCTTAGATTTGCGTTGACAGTTTTAGACACTTTCTGCAAACTTTACCTGGAGATCTGTGACGGCATTGAAATGTTTGAACAAATCAATGCATTTCTTTTAGTTAGTTAGTTTTAAGCCGTGCCATGTTCTGTCCTACACATTATTGAAAAGAACAACACAAGTAGAAGGATGGATTTCCTAAAAAGCATAGTTAAAAATATGATTGTCATGGTCCTGGGTCTCTGACCCAGCGTTTGTGCTGCCTACCTGTGGAGTCTATCATGTCTTGTTATGTATGTTCAGTTCTGTCCCTCGTTCTCTTGCCGTCACTCTGTGTCTCCATGTCTTGTCTTGCTCCCTCGTTCCCCAGTTCCCTGTAGTTAGTCAGTCTGAATCTCAGTGTGTTTCTCATGCTTCCTGTTTTATTTTGACAGTGTGCTTCATCCTCATGAAGTAAAACTGATGGTTCATGGTTTGCTTCACTCGCCTGTTAGATTATTATCCAGCTGTGTTTCCCAGGTGTTTCCACTCTGCCTTGATTCCCTGTGTTTATACTGTCTGCATTTCCTTGTGTGTTTTGTCGTGCTCTCCCTCATTCCCTGGCTGTGTGTTCTGCCTGTGTGTTAGTTTGACTCCTAGCATATTCCCGGTTTAAGTTTGTATTCTGTAATTCCAGGAATAAAGTTGTGTTTCGGGGCCTATCCTGCCTTATCTCACACTGCTGTTATGTCTTTGGCCCCTTTATAATCATAAACTTTAGATCTATCACTTTTATTTGCTCATGTAAATCGACCATATCTCACAAATGCAGTATTGATATTCAGAATAATTGTAAATTCTAACTAATAATAATAAGTAGCCTGCTGATACGTGTTTGAGTATGAACAACATAACAGAGCAGCGGTCTGTCCACAATATAGATTAGATGATATTTTTAGCGTAGCTAATCTCAGTGGGAACTGAACCTCACACCACTGCAGGCCTGACTCAGTGATTCCTGAAGAGCAAACATGCTGTGGTTTGGTGTCAGTGACTCAAATCCACAAATCAACATGTGACTTGCTTGTGTTGAACTTTATCTCACTCACATACACTAAGAATTGTTCAAGTCTTTCGCTTTTTTTTTAGTCAATTAAACCTTACTTCTATAGCACCTTTGAACATGCCAAAAGTATGCAAGTGACTGACAATCTAACAAACGTAAAACTTTTAAGTGGTAATAGATCTAAGGTCAATGTTTTATTTTAATTTGTAATAAAATAGGCTATACAACATTTACATGCATTTATAGACATTATACTAATTCCCAGCTCTGCTGTTTTGTAAGATTCACAGTTGAAACTAGTGGATGAGAGACAGAGCTGTTGGCACACAGAGATCACTTAAACACACACTGACATCATTATTTGAGACTTGTCCAGGTTTGATATGAGGATCTATCACTGTAGTTATGTGACAGAACAGAATGATAACTTTAGAACGTAGATGAAAAAGTCCGGTCATCTTCTTCTAATGTAAAGTAAAGAGCTCAGATTTCTGCATCTTCTGCTTGCTAATACTAGAGTAAAACACAAATCTGGAAGATGCAAAAACATGGATGAGGCATTTCTAATTTTCTACAACTATTTAACTGTAGTAGCCTGCACAGTTACTACAGTTGCATAGTTAAATATGAAACAACAGGCCTGATGACGGACTCTTTAAGGGCATTGGTGAGATAACTGCCATCTATGCCACTGCAGAATTTTCATTTGTGACTCCAGTGCCATTTCTTTTTTTGTGATTTCATGTATAAAATGCAAAATTTCACATTGAAAGATCTATTTGTTTTATAGGATCTCTAAGGCCTTGCTGTCTCTCTTTATTTTACCACTTCTTCCCTTCACCAGATTTTCATCCTTCCTTTTTCTTTGTTGCATTTTTGTTCTTAATATCACTGCTGTTCCTTTTGCAGATGTTTTTTTTGTTTTTTTTATCATTTTCTCTTCATTATACTATGTGTCTGCATTCATGCCTTCATGCAGGAGCCTCTGAAACAGAGAGAAGGCTTCATCAGAAGCTATTTGAAAACTACAACATGAAAGTGAGACCAGCTCGTTACTGGGAGGATAAGGTGACGGTGCGGGTGGGGATGACCCTCTCTCAGCTTGTCAGCTTGGTAAATGAACAACATAAACATAAATATTCCCTCAGACATGCAAACAAAATATTCTACATCCTACCAGTTAAGGATTCTGGATAGGGCTGGCTTTATATGTACCAGTTTAAACTAAAATTTTAGCTATTTCAAATCCAAAAATATTACAGCACAATAAATGAAATGCCAAATCCCTTTCTTAATCTGTAACAAGACTATCCAAACTTACTTGGCCCTACGTGATCTCTCAAATGAAGAAATCACTTAAATGGAAACTCTGACAAAATGAAGTAAGATAAAAGATCTCAAACAGCAGCACAACATGCCAGGATCTAATGAAACCATTGACATACAAAGTCGTTGACATCAAAGCCATTTCTAACTGGTTGGCCTAACAAAATTACTCCAAGACCATACTGACAACTCATCAAAGAGATCACAAAAGAACCCAGAACAGTATCTGAAGACCTGCAGGCCTTACTTGTCATATTTAAGTTTAGTGTTCATGTTTCAACAATAGGAAAGTGAATGAGCAAAAATTGGCATCCAGGGAGAGTTCTGAGGAGACAACAACCACTGCTGACCAAAAACAACAACAACAACGACACCACAGGCTCATCTCACATTGTCCTTGAAACATATTTTCTGTAGACTGACGAGACAAAAATGGAACTTGAAGGTCTGAGTCTAGTTACATCTGTTGTAAGATTAACAGAATTCATGAAAAGAATCGTACCAATAGTCAAACATGGTAGTGGTAAAGTGATGGTCCAGGGCTGCTTCAGGGCTTGGATGACTTGCTGTAATTGGTGGAACAATGTCCAATGCTGAAGCATATTTGAGGATAATGATCCAGAATACATCCAAGTCCAACTCTGACTGGCTCAAAGAAAGCAGTCTGAACTTATTTCCAATTAAGATGCTTTTGAAAGACTTTAAACTTGCCATGCATTGTTTGAAAACCCTCTACTGTGGCCAAATCAAAACAATTCTGCAAAGAAGAGTGGTTTAAATTTCTACACAGTGTTGCGAAAGACTCTTTGCCAGTTATCACAAACGCTTGATTGCAGTTCATGCTGCTGAGGAGGGCACAACCAGTAATTAGATTTAAGGGGCAATTACTTTTCTTTACATAGCACCGGGTAAAACTACAATTTGTATTTATTTTCTTTATCTAATAATATAATTATTTTAATGATTGGAAATATGTAACTGTGAAAAAAAATATGCTAAAGAAAGGAAGGAAACAATTACTTCATCGCATTGTATGCTTCTACACCATGTCTAAAATACATTCCCACTCTATCTTTTACCTAAAATGTAATTTGATTGCTGAGTTTGAATAGAACCAGGATCACACTCATCTGTCTCGATTAGTTTCAATAGAGGAGGTCTGAAAGTAATGGTACTGTCATACACAACAAGATATGGTGGCATCACTAATGTACGTACGTCCACCCCTCTCCCTGTTATTATCCCACTGCAGAATGAGAAGAACGGCGAGATGACGACTAACGTGTTCATGAATCTGGTATGAGCATGAAAACATTCATCTTCATTAGTGAGCCTTGCTCTGACGCCTCTCTCCTGTGCTCCTTCGCTCTGCCCTCAAACGGACTTGTCACTTTTCATAACTACAAATTATTTCATGTTTTATCTCTCTTTTTCTCTGACTCACTGTCTCAGTTCACTCCCTCGCCCTCGCTGATTAGATTTCAGGATGGCTGCTCTGTTTGTGACAGTATGTGTGCTTGATTGTGAATGTTTATGTCAGTGGGATTAAATGACTTGCCAAACGCTGGAGAATCAAAGATGGGAATGACAGGGACATCACCTGTTGTCTGTTCAGCTGTTCACTCTTTTTCTTTTTCGTGATTCACTTTGCCTTTCTCCTTTTGTTCATCCTTGCAGGAATGGACAGACTACAGGCTGTCCTGGAACCCAGCTGAATATGACGACATTAATGTTCTGAGAATTCCTCCCAACAAGGTGTGGCGACCTGACATCTACCTCATAAACAAGTGAGTGTCCTGACTGCACTCACACTTACAACATCTTGCATCATGACTAACAGAGTGCCTGCTCTAAAGACGAGGTTGGTCCACCACATTTGGCCAAGACTTAGAATATTTCAAGTAGTGAGTAGTACTGCCAATTCATGTTTCTTCTTGGATGATTTATAATAAGTTCAATGATCCCCTGACTTCCTGTCAAGATGAACTTTTTAATTTGTCTATTTGGATTATAATCAAAACAATCATAGTATTTGTTTGGACACGCCACATCGTGTCAGATTGATCAGCACCAACATTTGTTTGATGCTGTGATAGGATAGATACTTTGTCTCAATAAATGTCACGTTTCTCTTCCTTCAGTAATGACGGCCAGTTTGATGTGGCTCTGTACGTCAATGTCTTGATTTACAGTGACGGCACTGTTAACTGGCTTCCACCCGCCATCTACCGCAGTTCCTGCTCTATAGAGGTACAGTCTAAGCTTGTTTCCATTGAAACAGTACCAGTGCATAGACGGTTCCTCCTTGGAGCTTTTTTGAGAGTCATCTTCAAAATGATATGTTGACTTTCATTTAACAATCTATAGGTGGCGTACTTCCCATTTGACTGGCAAAACTGCAGCATGATTTTCCGCTCGTACACCTATGATTCCTCTGAGGTTGACCTGCAATACTTTCTGGATGATGACGGCAAAGAGATCCAAGAGATTGTAATAGATGAGAACGCTTTCACTGGTTGGTGCACATAGTGATGCTTTTCAGTATTTGTCCTGTTTTTGTGAACCTTTACGTCAGGGGTGTCGAACTCCAGGCCTCGAGGGCTGGTGTCCTGCAGATTTTAGATCTCCCCCTGGGTCAACACACCTGAATCACATGATGAGTTTATTTCTAGGCCTCTGGAGAAATTCAAGACATGTTGAGGAGGTCATTTAACCATTTGAATCAGCTGTGTTGGATCAAGGACACATCTAAAACCTGCAGGACACCGGCCCTCGAGGCCTGGAGTTTGACACCTGTGCTTTACGTGTTCTGTACGTACATTTTTTTAAGTGGCTTCATTTTTTATTTACCAGACTGTGTCTGATTTAGAATAAATCCTCTTTACATTTAACTTCTTCTCCTTGCGCCTCACCTTGGACAGAGAATGGTGAATGGGCCATTTGTCACAAACCAACAAGAAAGAACGTTAAGGAGGACCTGTATGAGGACATCACCTTCTATCTCATCATAGAGAGGAAGCCTCTTTTCTACATCATCAACATCATTGTGCCCTGTATCCTCACCAGCGTGTTGGCTATATTTGTCTTCTACCTGCCTCCTGGAGCAGGTCAGCACATGTGACATGTTGTGACATTATGACTACACATCATTGCCAAGAGCAAGCATAGGAAGTGAAACACTGCCTAATCTCATGACAACAAGCATGTGTCTAATTTGAGCTGCTCTGTAAGTCAGGGCGACCTTTAAAGAACTGTATTGATCTACAATACATTGAAGGTGAATGATGGATCACTGTTATTAACTGTCGTTTTGCAGACACATTTCATAATAATGCTTCACTGCCAATGAAAAAACAAACAAAACAGCAGAACATATTCAACGGAAAGCTTCAGGGTTTTTACAAGTGTATAACAAACCTAGCAGGCTGCTCGGCCTAAGATACCACTGACTAAAAGATAGCAGTTTGATATAGTACCTCAGTGTATAACCAGATTAGAGCCAATTGCTAAACCCTGAAATTGATGGAAATCAGCCTGAGTCTGATAAATATCAGCAAGTCTCTTGATAGCAAGTTCCTTAATGTCTTGAATTCTGCTCTTGTTAGTATAACACTGTCTACAGACAAAATGTTTTCTACCTTACTGTCATAATTAATTTGTCAACTTGTCCCTTTTCTTTACAGGAGAGAAAATGACTCTTTCCATTTCCGTCCTCATTGCTCTGACTGTCTTCATGTTGCTGCTGGCTGACAGGGTCCCAGAGACTTCCCTCGGCATCCCAATTATTGTCAACTACGTCATGTTCACTATGATCTTGGTGACCTTCTCTGTCATCCTAAGTGTGGTAGTCCTCAACCTGCATCACCGAACACCTAGCACACACATCATGCCAAGCTGGGTCCGAAAGGTATTTAATAATCATCTAAAATGTTTATGTAAGAATTTGAAATCATGGATCACATATAATTTTTTTTATGAATATACTTAAACTTTGAGGATATCATAAAGGTTACTTTATATGTAATTTAACTGTCCTGTGATGTCAGTTTCTCAGGTGCAGCAATGTGTTTTGTGTTCCTGACCCAGGGCATGTTTAGTTACAGTCTTACAGGTCATGGTTCAATGAGAATATATTTTTACAAAAAAACGTGAATCATTTTTTTAAAAGTACGCTGGAAAGACCTATATATAAAATATAATCGTTTTTCATGACACCGATTATTAAAAAAACCTCTTTAACATTATTATTTTTTTATGGGATAATAATAACTGTCACCGTATCTGTCTCCCATCTGACAGCACTCATTATGAAATGGGAGAAAATACTGAGTCTCCAGAGACGTTGTAGTACACAATATACTGTAGATCATTTCACACCAGAATGGGTCAATTTGACAGCCAACATAACAGGAGGGTTAAGAAGACTTTGTCTTTATTTTTCTCTAACTGTAAGCTCACATTTACACTGCTGGGCCATCTGTGACTGCCCTAGCCCCGCCCAACCCTAATTTTAGCCAATCAGAATATTTCATTTGTGTTTTTAGCAAATTGTTCTTTCAAGTCTTGCAAACAGACAACAAAAAACAACTTTTCACATTTTCCCCCCAGAAGTAGTTCTTTTGTCTTTCTCCCAAAAAATACTGGGTTAATTTTCCTAAATATGATGCCTTAAACTTTAGAGCGTTAATATTATCAAAAAACGCAGAGGGGTGTATAGTGTTAATCTATTATTATACACATGAAATGTGATTGATAATTAATGAATAAAGGTTCATTATGTTTAACTGCATTACCAGAATAGCAGAACAGCAGAATAAGCAGGTGAGAATTTACTAAACCACGTTCCACAGATTCATTAAAAAGGGTTTTGTGCACATTATAATTCTATAATTTGAAAGTATGTAAGCATATGATAAAAATACAAAGGTCAGTATGAAATTTGGTTGGATAGGACATAAAAATGCACCACTTACAGATGGCAAAAATGGATACGATTGAATGAGTGTTGACATTCAAAGTTAACAATCTAATAGCAATTAGCTTCTGAATTTTTGCTGACTCTTATGATTAGGCACTTTGCAAAAGTGTGTTAAATTAAGTAGTTGTTGATTGTAGTTTGTCTGAATTCATTGTTTGAAAAGTGACATTACATGTAAAGCCACAGAGTAAAACAGATACCTTCTATAAAGTTGCAATTTATGCTTGGGTTAAGTTGGGTCAGCTTGAAACAAAAGTACAAACCTCTGTGAAACCACTGAATTCCTCCATTTGATTTTTCAGGTGTTCATACATTTCCTGCCTAAATACATTGGCATGATGAGGCCAAAACCAGAGGAACCCTTTTTGGAAGAGGAATCTTCTGATGACACACCTATTCAAAGCTACAATGGGCGACAGCCGGGAGGAGAGTATTTCATTCGCAAGATCAACCCTGATCTTGTCTTACCTTGGCGAGGCAGGTATGACAAAGAAAAAAAGCAATCTATTAGAGGTGTGACTGTGTCTGAATGAAATTGTATGAATATCCAAAAATATCTACTTCATTTTCTTCGTATTAATAATTCACAAAAGCTTTGTTGATCTATTTGTAACCTTCCTTGACAATCGCTGAGCCAATATACTTCAAACAAGCAGTTGGCTTGTTGTCATTTTGATTAGCTCCTCTCAGATCTCAGATTTTGTGCAGAAATCATGTGGATACTGCCTGCTCTGGTGTTTGTGGAAGAAGCTTAACTCTAACCCACATATATATAAATGTACAGGTATGGCTGTAAGGCTCTCTCTGAATCAAAATGTACTGACATTGATCCTCAACCTCAACCCCGACTCCATTCTGACAGCAACCAAAACGTACTTTTGGGAAGAATATGAACATATTTTGATGGGTGCCAGTTAGAATTAATATTTTCTGTTTCCCTGAAAACCAACATTTAAGTGAATTGTTTTTAATATAAGTTTAAAAAAAAGACATATTGCACCAGAATAGGGTTAGGGTTGAATGCCACAGGTTGAGCAAACAAAAAACATCACAACTATAAAGGTGAAACCTTTCCCCAACCCTAAGCTAAATTCTAACTTTAACTATTAAAACAAGTCTTAACCAGCGAATAGGTCTGTGAATGGTTGTGAAAAAAATGAGCGGGCAGTTTTTTTTCAAGGCATTAAATAACTAAGAAATAGAAATAAGTGGAGTTTGTGTTATGCACATCAGCAAAGTTGGTAAGACAGACTCCACACAAAGTTTTCCACTAGCAGAAAACTTTTACAAATATTCATTTTTCTTCAGGCAAAAATGTAACATGTTTGATGGGATTAAATGTATTGGTTTATATCATCAAATAAAGACAGACTGCCAAAAAGTTCTAGCGCCTGTCACGAATATTAAGAACCACAGAGCTGAAGTATTGACCCTGAGGCTAATTCATCCTGATTCAGCCTCTTTCTAAGCTGAGATGTGCAGATCCTGATGGGGAAAGCTATTTCTATTAACATTAATAAAAGCCAGTGTGGGCATGAATCTCCTTTGTAGAGTGTGCCAAAGTGTGAATGTTGGATCTGGTGCCAGATCAGCTATTATAGTAAAGTACACTGTGTGCTGGAGTTGGCAGAGTTATAGCCATCATTGCAGAAGCTCAGAGGATCTGTCAAGGCTGCAACAGTAAACACATCTCCTTGAGCCTTCTGATATCATATCTAATAAGATTGTGTTAAAGGTGTTTTTAAGAATTGAATTGTCGTACTAATTCAGAATGTATTGGATGCTTCAAAGGCATGCCTGAAATGCAGAATATATATTCAAATCTCCACAAGTTGGATTATAACATTATAACAATCTCGTTAAAATGACATTAACGCCATAACCGCATTGTGCAGCAAATCTCCGTTAGCGAGTTAGCGCAGATCGTCCTGTGCGTGGGGCTGCACAGCATTAACGTGTTAACAAGCTAACTGCGCTAACACGTTGACGCCGTACAGCCCCACGCACTCGCTAGCAGTGATTTGCCGCGTTAATGCGGTTACGGCGTTAATTTTAACAGCAATAAACATTATATGTTACAGAATCAAAATACAAATTTGTTTTTTTATTGATGCTGCAGGGGTGATATAGGGTATTATTGTAGTATTGTAGGGTTAAACTTACAACATAAGTTGTAAGTTACCTTGAGGCAACTGTTGTTGTGATTTGGTGCCATACAAATGAGTTGAGACTGAGATTCCACTAATCTGGTCCGCTTCTGTAGTCCTGACTGAAACATTATAATACCTATTACCACTGATGAACTGCAGAACGTGCAATGATAATCATGGTCAGATGATGAATTTGAGCAAGTTTTGGTAATTATTTTATGTTTTCTGAAATGCATCAACAGTTCAATCCAGATGCTCAGCTTACTGTTTTAATAAAATGACTAGAATGTGCGTGTGCATGTTAAAGCCGTGTCATAATGCAGTTTTAGGGTTGTTCATGTTTTGCTTCATACTGTCATTGGTAGTAGTTAAGAATGGGTGAGATAAGCTACTCAAGATAACCAGAAAGAGTGTAGTTGCTTAGAAACATGATGTCTTTATGTTACCTGCTTCATTCTGGCTAATCAGCTGGTACCTTGCCTCGTGGGTCTTGCCTCATAACCAGCTTCACAGTCCCATGAATGAGATCTTGTGCTGGACAGCTCTCATCCTGTTCCAAAAGCATCACATTCAGCCCCAGCTAAGCCCCACACCCACATCCACAGTCGCCAGCCACTAAGCCTCTGTTTAGGTTTGGCATTAGGGGGTAATCCCACAGAAAGGAGCTCGAGGGACAGTGAAGAATAGATGAGTGGAAGGGAAAGCTGGTGCTGAGTGATAGAGGCATAGGAGGCTTTTGTCGTGTTAGATGTGGGAGAGATGGTGGCTGTGCTATCATAGAAATACAGACATGATTCATCTATATGTCTGTTGCCTCATCCGGTTCTGTGAAAAATGAGGCAACACACTGTAACTTGATTTCACTTATCAGTTGACTATCAGACTTGTTGCTTATAAGAATTTTTTTGAATAAGAATTTTGTGGATGTTTGGTGTTATGAGACAACTTTATACTATTCCAAACTCTGTGTGCTTGTTATAAAGTGCATACATGTTCAAAAGTTGATTCTGTTCATCTGGACGTAGCGTTTTGTGGGAGAAAAGTTTCGTCACTCATCCAAGTGACATCTTCAGTCTCAGCTGACTGCAGGTTTCCCCAAATCTTATAAACAGCACATTTGCATAATGACTGAAACCAGCCCACTGAGGGAACAATGGGCTGGGAGGTCAGTTCCTTAATCTTAATTATGCAAATTCTCATGACCATTGATCAACAACCACTGATCAATGGCCATGAGTACCATTCACAGAGACTATACATATGCATACATATATGCATACATGTTCTATTCCCACATCTTGAAGCAAGCATGCAGTTTGGGCAAATTTCTTTTATTTTGTTTTTTATGTTTTTTCCCCTCTAATAAGAGTTAAACTCAATATAGATATATTTACATGATGGTATAGTTACAGTCCCAATGTACAGTACATACATGTGCCTGTGTGTGTTTGTCACAGTGAGGACTCCGTGAATCTGTGGTAATGAATACAAGCTGTGGAATGTGGGTGGCGTGTGGACCACTACTTACCACACACACGCACACACACACACGCACACACACGCACGCACACACACACACACGCACACACGCACACACACGGATGCATACACCAGCACCAGCCTTCCTATGGGAGTTGATTCATTTTTACTGTCCTATCCATCTGTTGTCATGCTGTCTTTCTGTAACACGTCCTGCTTCCTTACTGACGCCGTCCTCATTCGGGTGCTAGTTATCGACTCTCACACTGAACAACTATAGACCATATACATAGACTGCAGATATGTAGTGATGGTGCCAGTGTGACAGGTGCACTGTGGTGCCCAGCCAGCCTGTTACATGATATGCATCCATGATATCTACATGTTTTCATATAATGAAGAATGAAAACAATGTGAATCTAGTGGGTGCAAAGAAAAGTTGGAGTACAGCGTAACTGTTCTCAAAAGAAAGGTATGAACTCTCTCCACCATTTTCCATCCCCAAATTTAATAAGTGGGATGAAAGGCATGGATACATCACACTCAAATAGAAATGCTTTATTTAATACAAAGGATGTGCAAAATACAGGTGACAATCTTAATTTTATAGACATAGATAGATTGCATAAATCCCTCAAATTTGTCATTTCATAATCTAGTCTTTTGGTTTAATTATGAAGTTTAGTTTGTTACGAAGCAAGTGAGTTACAGAGCAGAAGAAAGAAGAAAGATCCTGCCTGGGTCTCAGTATAATTTGGTGGTTTGACCCTTATGCCGAATGGCTGTAACAGCGGTTTGACTCTTCCCTGGTCCATTTCCTGCATGTTATTCCGTCTGTCTGTTCGACCGTCCTATCACAAAAATAAAAGAGGCCTAATATAAATATAAAGATTGTGTCAGCACATGTGTTTCGCTTCATGGAACAGCT